CTTCTGCTTCTGTGAGTGAAACCAGCATATGTGTGGCTGACTGATGACTAGTCCTTCCTTTTAGCCTTCAAAGCAAATGAGAATGTTCTACCTGCCAAATATACCACATAGTTCAAGAAACATGTAGATGTGATACTTAGGGACAAGATTTAGTGGGCAATATTAGTGGTAGGTGGACAGTTGGACAAGATGAGGTGTTTTCCAACCTTAAGGATTCTATGATTCTACAGTATGTCCAGGAACAAATTTCCAGGATGATTCTTAGAAGGTATTCTTTGTCTACCACATAAATGAAAACAGAATCCTCTCAGAAATAATTTATGTTGAGGAATTTCTTTTCACTGGAAAATCTCTAATCTCATGGAACTAAGGAAAATTGGCAGCATTTGGGAGAACACATTTCTTTATCAAACGTGGAGAGGGGAGCTAGCCAGAAGCATAGCAAAATGTGACATACATTGCTTTCTGTCTTTATATCAATCTGCAACAGAAACATGTTTCAATATGGAAGTTGTTGCACTGAAGAAATATCAAAACTACATTGAGTTCTACAATTTTTTGTAATTTTTATCAAAGTTTAAGTCTTGAAATAAGAAAAAAGTGCAAGTAGGGGTTTTTTTGCTGTTCTAGAGACAAGTTTGTAAAAGGAATTCAAGTATTCTTACATATGAATGCTGAAAAACTGAAATGTTATAGGAAGTCCAGTTTGAAGTCCATGCCAAATTTTAAAAGGCTATGCTGAAAAAAAAAGAAGTATCATGATTTTCTATATTACTGATGGGAATATGGCTTATATGATTACCTGATTGGAAGGTAAGCTGTGAGGCTGCCAGTTAAGAGCACAAAGTTTTTCAGTAGTCCAAAAAGACTGAGTTAATTTAGGAAAACAGGCTTAGGAAGGGGGCTGCTTAATTAGAACTTGTTTTCCATTAAAATACCTCCCACTCTCCAAAACTGCTGCCAGAAGATGAAATATAAGAAACTGTTCAACAGTATTTCAGCTTTTTGTGGGACCTAAAGTTCGCTACAGTTTTCTTTCCTATGACTTTAGAGTTTGTCAATCTATCTCTGCCTTCTCTTTTCACAGTATCTGAGTTTGCTTTGCTACACAAGCTCAAACAGTGTATAACAAGCACCGTAACTACATGATTATTTACTCAGGGCTTTGCCTTTGCAGAAGTCCTTTGATTGGGGTTTATGTGCAGAGTTTCATGTGCTTAGTTCGATGAAGTTTGGTTTAGCGAAGTACAGTTCAACAGTAAACATATGGAAAATTCTACCTTGCCGTTCCTCTCCCATAGCATAAAAGGATGATCTCCTAAAATTAAATTACATCATTAAACAAGATAGCAATTAGATCAGAAATCTCCTCCTTGTGTTCCTTTGCGAGGGGTTGTTCTTCTTTTGCATGGGGTTTTTTTCTTCCACTTCTGAATCCTACCCACCTCACCTGAGATAGTAGCAGTGATTTTTGACATGCTGCTACCAAGCATTTGCCTTTCTGGCCTTGGAGCTCTGGAAACAGTTGTCCAGCAATGATTCATGACAGAACTGTGTTCACTTTAAGAGAAAATATTCTGAGAAGTTCTCCCCCTATTAATGGTAGATTCATATGAACAGCAGTGAGTTTCCAGAGCAGCTCCAGATAATTGGGAAGAGGCTGTCCAAGACTGAAAGCACCTCAGAAAAAACACCATATGAGAATAAAAACCATGTACTTCCAGACGTGGTGCATACACAGTCACCTTGCTTGCAGGGAAGCATGTAACCTATTGGTGAAAGAAGACTTGGGGTGCATCTCAGGGAATACTTGTGTGCAACCTCAGCTTATTAGAGTAGCCAAGCATTTCAGAGCTGGTCCCCAGCTGCAGTGCTCTTTATTCGTGTGACAATGGTACCTTCTCTGAGCTACAGTCAACCCACTTCAACATACTGCACTGGTCTCCTTTACTGGGCTGTAAGACTGCTGCTGCCAGAAAGGATTTGCCTGAGCTTTAGATCACCTCAGAGAAGCCTATATCTGAGGCAGGGATTCAAAACCACAACCTCTAGAGAGCAAGGCAATGATCTTGGGTATTTCAGCCTGCCATTATCTGTTCTTCCTTTCCTTAGACTGTATGTGGCAGGGGGGGGTTGAACTTGATGATCCTTGAAGTCCTTTCCAACCCAGGCCATTCTATGATTCTATGACTGATTCTGTGATTAGGGAAGGCAACAATAGAGTTATGCTTTTCCTGTTTTGTTCACCAGAATGGCTGTGCAGGCTCAAGCGCTGTAACGAAGGCTTTGGGTACAAATTCAAACCCCATGCTTAAAGGCATTTTGTTTGTCTCTGGCTTAGGGATGGTATGCCAAAATGAGGCCAAACCAAGCAGCTTTTGTAGAGCAAGAACTAAGGCTCTGCTTTTGGTGCCTTCAAAGCTGATGTAGCTAGAAGTTCCACTTGCATACCAAGAATACTTCCTCCTTTTTCAAGGCAAAACTGCAAAGCAACTGGAGATTAATAGAAGTAAGAAACAAACCTAATGGAACCTCTTTTACAGCAACTGAAGTGGAAAACTAGACAGAAAGTATAAGAGGAGAAGAATACGAGTCTCAGGTATGGAGACACGCCAGTGTTTTAGCCAATCTGCCAGCCAGATGAACTCTGCTGGAGCTTTTACTGCTGTTCCTTTTTGCTAGACACTGGAGATTTCCTGGAGAACTGAGAAATTCTTGTAGGCCAGCTCATGCTCTTCCAGTACCAGTGCTTTGGTGAAGTCAGTTCCCTTTTACGTCTTGCTTGGGATCAGAAGATTCCACTACCTCCTCTTTAGCCCCTTAAGGGGCTATTAAAGCTTTGTGAAAGATCTCTTCAGTTAGTCTCCTGCATTTTCCAAATTAGTCTGAGATTGTATCCTGCAGATGCAACAGTTCTTGCTTAAGAAGTTAAATACTTTGTGGGTCAGGAAGGGAAAGTCTCCATTTGCTTTCAAGGGGACTGTGGGAAGGACCAAAACCTCTGCTCACTCTTTGAAGGTATGCAAAATTAATGCTTCATTCCTTCCTCTCCCTCAAAGAGACTATTTGTGGATTTCTCTGCTAGAAAAGGTTTTAACTGTTCAAGATTTGATTTTGTCATCCAGTTCAACACAGGTGTGAATTGAACCACAAAGTTCCAAGGTGATGAAGAGTGCAGAAAGGAGGTTTGACATGTACAGTTTAACCTGGAACTGCAAAGCACTTGTAAGTAAGAATTCTCTGACAGTGCCTCCTTTTGGGAACCTACTTATACAGAGCAAAACCAAAGGGGCTGCTGTATTCCTAAGCACTGTGAAGAACACCATGTTTGCATATGTATCAATTCCTGCCAGAAGAATTTATTTTAATGCTTACTAAAAGCATACAAATCCTGTGGGGAAATAACAGCATCTGCTATTTTCAGAAGCAAAACTCTACCTGGTAAAATACAAACTCCCTGTTGTAGGCAGCAGGCTTTTTATTGCCTCTAGAGCCATTTTACATTCTTAGCCTTACACTGCCCTGTAGTGGCAAAGCTAAAATCTGCAGGAATACTGTTTACACAGGATGTTTTAATTTCTGCAATTAGAACTAGTTTGCCCATTACTACGAGGGACAGAAAAAAAACCCTGCAGTGGCATCAAAATGACACAGTTTATCTTTTTCATAGGAAATAAGACAAATCTGTTCATGCCATGAATCTGTTTGTCTCCAAAAACTTTTGGCTGACTCCAACCAAATTTAGCTGCAAAAATGAAGATCTCAAAGATGGCCAGACATCATCAGATTTTTTTTTAAATGGTCTTAAAAACAACTAATGGAAGAGAATGCATGTATTTTCAGCACAGAAGCTGCTAGAAAACAAAGAAACAAACAGAGAAAGTGAACTGATAAATGCCCCAGAACAAAAGTCTCAGCCATATCTCACAATGAACCAACAGCCAGAAATCATCAGAATCCCATGCTGAAGTAGAAATCAGGCTTCATTAGTCTTGGAGCTTGCTACTTAAAGTGAACTTCATTCTTAGATCTGCTATCTCTTACCCCCCAGCTCTCTAAAAATAGTATTCTGAAGATGAAAAATGTCTGGTGTTTTACTTTCTGTACATCTCTACTGGTTTCTGTCTTTCAAGCTGTAACGCATTTGGCAGGGCTCATAGCAGCATAGAATGGACTCAAAAGCTCTAGTACTTCAGGTAGCAAAAATGCATGTATTCAAGTTGATGGCACAGGAAGAGTTGCTTTTAGCTCTCAGAAAGTTAAGACAACTATTCTTATCAACAGAGGCAAAAATAACACAAAATGTTTGCACACAGCAAGCATGTGTTACTCTAATTGTACTTCAGCTGTTTTCAGGAGAGTCTTCTGGCTCTCAGCTAATGCCCTTCAGCTATCTTTGCAATGAGATCAGATAAAGAGGCACTTCAGAACGCAATTCAGTTAATCTCCTTTGGATATCTCCTTTGGTATGAGATGAATGAATGTTGAAAATGGCTGTGCCACTCCATTTCCTGTAGGGAAAGCCTAGATATGGGCATCTTTTTTGTGAAAGTTGAAATTTGAAGATCTCCTGCTACAGCACTAATTATTCATCTCTCAAAGTTCAAACAATGTGAACGGAGTTCATATTCTCAAAGCCAAAGGACTGCTATCTTTTGAAAACTGTGGTGAACTGAGACTGTTCTAACAATGCTAAAATGAGACCTGGTGCCAAACTTGATTGAAAGTTTCTCCGAGTCACTTGAATCATTTTATGATGCATTATTCTTTTTCAGATTCAGCAGGCATAATCAACTTTTGGCCCCAGACAGTATCCTCCAGGCAAGATCTTCTGATAGTTCAGTTTTTAGTGAAATGCAAAATTGATACTGCAAAAGTTTGAGAAATAGATCAACAAACTTCCTCTGACTTGAAAAAACAAAAAAAAAAACAAAAAAAAATTTCCTCCTCTTTTAAAACTCAAGCTCATCTAGGTGGTATATGAATAAGCACAAAACCCATGGTTTTTTAAATGTGCTTTTTAATCATTCAGAGAAAATAAGTTGATTATAAAATGATCCAGAGGGGTATGCAACTTGGAAGAAAGTTCAGTGTAATTTTGTACACAAATAAATAGAGCATTGTTAAAAATAACTAGAGAACATACAGGATACAGTAGGGGGAAAAGCTAAGTTCAAAAACTGTCAAGGAAGATCAGAGTGGTGCATAGTTCCTTTACTTGAGTGCTGTTAGCTTTTTTCTGCTTCATTTTGATGTTAAGCTGATGGCTCTTCTCCTGTGATTTCGAGTGCTCTCATCATTTTCTTCTGTGCTTTGAGACTCACTAGATTCTGAGACTACGCACTGAGTGTCCTGACAGCCACATCTTTCGACATACACATATTTATGTGTAATTGACTTCCCAGAGGGACACTGCAGTTCCACTTCCTTCGTGCTAGTTTCTACTTCCTTGCAGCAGGAACAACTGTGCTCCATAGAACTGGCCTCAACAGAGTACCTGTTAAGATGGAGAAAGGGAACATCATTTTGTGCTAGAAACCAGAATACAAAGGAGAGAGTGCAGAATTCCTGCAAGAAGTTTTGTTCTGTATGCAAAAGAGCCATATTTGGGGCTGATGAACTGTCCTGAACCACAGGGCAGTGGTTATAACAATATGCATTTAAAATTCTGTGCATTTGGATGGGATTTTCTTGTAAAAAAAAAAAATTGTCTAGATCCTACTAAAGAAATGCAATGAGTTCTGGGAGTTCAGTTTCCTCATATTCTTCTCATCATCCCAGCACGATAGATTTTAAACACGCTGGATCAAACAACTAAGGGCAGATGCAGCCCTGAGCTGAGAAAGAAAACTGCTGAGCCTTGTGGCTACAATGCCACCTATAAAGACATCATATCAATCGGCTGTAAGAGGTACAGTTGTATCAGATGAATCCAAGTGTGTATTCCAAGAACCAGTAGCTCCTTCTGTTGCTGTCTCACAGTAGGGTCTTTTTTTTGCAGCATTTTGTCCATCACCAATGCTGACATGCAGAATCTGTTAATATCAGACTTCACCATGAACTCTGTCAAGAGCCATCTTTTTCTTATGCTTGCATGCAGAGGCAGCTCCAGCAGGACTCTAAGACTGTGAGGTATTTGAAAATGCTAATAAAACCATCTGGCTAACTGGAGTTCAATCTCAGAGTAAAACCAGTTTTCTTTCATGTAAGGTACCCAGTGGTACATGCAGCAACAGGCAGCAAGTGACAGTTTATTTGGGAATCTAGAATTATATTATTCTGATGTGTTTTAATAGCTTGATATCGTGTGTCACACTAGCCACTTTCTTGTAGATTTTCAGGGAGTAACATACAATGAAATTACCAGTGCAACTCCTAAGGCATTTGTTTTCTCAATTCTTTACTGTATAAAAATTGTGCATGTTTGAAAAGATACATGCCTATTTCATTTTCTATGTTAATGTATATGTTTATATGCTAACTCTTGAAAGGCAGCTTTTCAGCTTATGAATATCAAGACTGGCTACTCTCTGGTCTCATTCACATTACGGGAAACAATCCATATTCTCTTGCAGTGACTTCTGTCCAAGACAGTCTGACACAAATGAAAGATGAGTCACCTCTTAACATAAATGGAACTTGCCATAGCTGTCCTAATCCCAATGCAATCCAGTACCCTTTTCTGCTTTGTGTTGTGAATCAACTGCTGAGTCAGAGATTTCATGATTTTGTGCCCTTGAGTTTGGGAGTTGATAGTTTTCGTCTTCTGCTACTCTGTAGTCCATCAATTTTTTGTTCCTTTTACATAAACAATGTCAGTTGCAGAATTCAAATCTCATTGTCCAATCAGTTTACTTACAGTGAAAAAGTTCCACATGTTCCTTCACATTCAGTCAGGACAACTCTCTCCAGGGAACGGCAGTTCTTATAGACAATAAAGTCTTCTCTCTCACGGACAAAGCATGGTGTGGGGCTATCCAGAGGTACACCTAAAGGAAAAGATCAGAAAATGCTTTCAGTGAAATAGCTCCATTTTTTCCCTGAAGTTCAGTACACTTGGCTTTGCTAGTGCACTGGAAGAATTGTCTTGAGAAGTCTTTCTGCTTCAGTTTAAACCCTCCCATACAGATTGGGCACTGAATGCTTGGAGTAACAAACATAAACACAGGTGCATCTATGTAAATACAAACATATCAGCCTCTGCATAATAAAATGGGCTGATTTAAGATGAAAATTCGTTTTCTGTACTGTTAATTCAGGTACACCGACATACTTACAGGTTTTGCAACAACCATTAGGTAAGAGTGTAACAGTTCCCTAAAAACAAAAAAAGACAGGAAAAATAGTATTATTTTATTTACCTGTATTAAAGACGTTTTTAGTTCAATAAAAGAGGAGAGCTATTTTTCAATGGCTAGAAATTACTAGCTAAAACTCTAGCACTTATGGGAATAAACAAATGAAATGGTCTATAAAAGACTTGAAATCTATCAATTTTTACTGAGGACTGTAGAAATACAGGTGAAGTTTTGAAGGAAGTCTACAATAACCATCAAACCACTCAAAAAAATCACAGAATATTTTCTCAGAGACTTCTATATTTGTATGGTACATGGTGTTTCTGCCTACTGACTGGACAGCTTGTATTTCTGTGACATTCAAAAAACGTGGTTCTTTTTTAGACACGACCAGTTTTTTTGGCTACTAAGAGAGTTGACAGAAGAATCTTAAACTCTCAGTCACATGTCTTATTTAATACACTCTGTAGGTCTGCACACAGATGAAGCAGAAATCTGTGCCATTGGGACAGAGAAACTTTGGAGAATGATCATCAGAATCAATGAGACATTGTTTAATTAGGTGAATGAACTCAACTGAAGCAATTTATGCATTGAGGGTATGTTTTCCATATGTACTTACAGGTTTGCAGCTCTCCTCATTGAATGCAGGACACATAATTTCAGATGTGGAAGAGATAAGCTGGTTCTGGAGATTTGTACAACTGTAAATGGTGCAGTTGTTGTAAGGATCATTTGTAAACTCTCCAGGCTGCAAGTGAAATACAAAATGTAACAGGAAAAGGTGAAGGGAGCTCAGAATGAAACGGTTCTCTCCTCTGAAAATGACTTTCTTACTGTTTCTCAGTTAGGTTAACAGCAATTTTGAATACAGAATTTTGTGTACATTTCAGTATGCCACAAGTGGAGAGAATCTTCAGTTTTACATGAAAAAAACAGCACTTACAGCACTTAAAGTACATTAACAATACTGGCAAAGTCATTCATGCCTATGAATTTTGCTTAGGGAAACCTAAATAGGGACAATAAGATTATTTCATATACAGGCTTTTCTAACATTTCTTCAGTATACAGAAACTAAATAATAGAGAAAATTTCAAGCTTCTAATCACCAATAAATAAATAAATAAACAAACAATACAAAAACCTTTCCATGATATTACTGTCTTGTCATTCCACAAAAAGGCTTTCAGAAAATTTGATTTCATTAATCCTTCAGGCCAAGATACTGTAGATTGTCTTTGCTTTAGGTATGTTGTTGATATTTCAGATGTGAAGTTACATAAAGCCTTATCTTTGAAAAAAGAACATTCACAAATTTGGTAGAGAAGTAACATGTAGAGCATACTTACATTCAATACGAGACTGGAACCATGTGATGTATGTATAATACACTTTGTCTGCACACATTTTCCACAACATTCACCTTCTACTTGTTTCAGTTCATATCCCTACATAGTAAAATCAGATTGAAATAACAGCAGTGATAGATGTACTGTGGAAAAATAATTGAAAACATACCAACCCATGAATTGCTTATGCCTTGAAGCATACTCTAGAATGGTTACAATGGTTAAAAGGCTACAGATGGAATAAACTAAAGACTTTGGTAAGTATGCCTAAAAACTAAGTATCATTCCATTAAGTGCACTGCTTCAGACATTTCTTAGCTAATCCTCCCAAGGTGAACTGTTGGTTATACTATCAAGCTACACAAAATAGATAGCTCAAGAACAGTCAGTGTCCATGCTGTAGCTGGATTCTCACTTTCTGCCCCCCATACATAATAGATGCAACTCATTGATCACAATGTTTTTTATGGACATGGATATTATGTTTGTTAATTTTGTTAGTTTTACATTCATCACTTACTGGTTCACAGTGTGTGTTGCATGGAATGTGTTCACAGGAGATGACATTCAGTTGAGTGCTGATGTTAACTTCATTAGTGCAGAAGCAATTGTGACACTTATCAACAAAGACTGAGGAATTAGGCTATAAATTTAAAGAAACAAAGTTTCATATATTAATGAGATATGGCATGTAACAGACATTTTTTATTTCCCAAAAAACCTCTAAACCAAACCATGGAATAGGAATTTATCATGAACATCACTGGAAATATATTCGTCTAGTTGTTTATGAAGACAGTATAAATAATATTGAATTAAACTTCATATGTGTTTATTGAACTCCTATATAGCAAAGATAAACTCAGGTATTAAAAGCTAAGGAGTCATATAAACACATGTAAGAAAATAGTTACTAGACCATAAAGAAATCATTAGGGATCTATGTCTGCTCAGAGTAATCTTTCTTTACAAATAATTTCTGAAAGCATTAAAATTAAAATTGAAATGAAGTACTGACAGTAAGCATGGATTGACTTTCTAAAATGCATAAACACTTCACTCTAAAGCCAAATCTAGCTCTGATACTGACATTTAAAAACAACTCTCTATTCACAGCAACCTTTTCAAAAAATATTTAAACACTGTTGAGCTGAAAAATCCCTGAAGAAAATTGAAAATTTCTAAAATATTGCTGGATAAACTTCCTTATAGCACTTCTGTTAAAGTATGCTGAATGGTCTTTTAAGCATTCTCAGAAGGCTATTGAAATAGTCTTAACTTACCAAGAACTCAGCATTCTGATGTACACAAACATTCTTGGGAACTGTTAACAAGAAAGGAGATAGGCAGTTACATCAGAGAAAAAAAGTCCTTACTCCACTCTAGTCACACTCATTTCTTCCACAGTGAATTGCAACGCTCATGTTCAAATACATTGGTTATTCCACATTTCTGGTAGCAGATGTGGTGTACATAAAGTAAAAGAACAAATACTTAATGAGCAACAAGGGAGGAACCTTTAATCCAATTCACATAGTCCAGTTCCTAGCCAATAATGTCCATGTAACAGTTACAAGAAGTTCCTTGTATCAATTATCAACAATCTATCTTCTCCTAGATGCATTAACAAGGACATTTTGCTAGGTTAAGCTGAGATCACAATCTCCGTTAATTCTATAGCAGTTTCTACAGGCACCTACAAGCAGGAAAAACTTCAGTTGAACTCTAATTACACAGTTGTAATACCACAATATTACTAAAAAAAAGTTAATAGTAACCAATTCATGGAATCTGACTGCTTTCATTAGGGTACTGCATGCAGTCTCATTAAATCTAATACTAAATTACATAATATATAATGCTAATCATTTAAAACACATTTCCAAAGGACTTACCACACTGGTATACAGGACAGCACTCATCACTGGGAATATAAGACTGAACTTCAAATCCCTGCGTACACTTGAGGGGTTCAGTTGTGCACAAACTTGTGTTGCATTCTGGAAAAAAAAAAAAAAAAAAAAAAAAAGGAATAACCCAGAAATTACATTAAATCACAGGTAAGAAAAGGTATCTCTCAGAATCCCCATTTAAGCAATATTTCCTTGCTAATAAATATTCCAGACCCTCCCCAAAGAAACAAATTACACATGGAAGATGCATTTTTCCTAGTGAATCCAGGCATCCGGCACTGGATGGGGAACTACACTCTTTTTTTTTTTTCCCTAGTACATAATTACCAAGTGTAAGAAAAGTATCACAACTCTTTGCTAAGAAATCGTGGGTGACAATTACACTACTCTCTCTCCAAGAGTGTAGGCAATTGTTGCAAAATGAAAACCATACAGCCACAGAGAATTCTGCAATCCGACTGAATTTTACTTGAAAAAAAATCTGATTCTAAATTCAAGAACTGTAGATGCAGTTAAGTTGAATCCCAGAACAGAAAATTCCATGTTGTGTCACAGCATTATTAAATTCACTATTTATTTATTTTTTTAATTTTATTTAACATTGGACAAACAGATTTAAGAAAACATATTTCTTGGCTCCCTACTTCATGTCTTCAACGCTTACCTAAGCTCTTTTCCTTTCTGTTCCTAAAGAATAGAGAAAGACTAGAAACAAAAGCATTAACTCACTGCAAGTGACAATGGGGCAGCAGGAATCTTCAGAGTTGACTTCAGTGACTTCATAGAAGCCTTTCCCAGAACAACTCCTGATATTTTGTTCAGGACATGTGTGAGGTTCACATACAATGCCATTTCCACCTTCCAGGCAAACACAGTCCTGGCAGTCTACTATAAACTTTTCTCCAAACTGTCATTAAAGAAAATAAAGTGAATGATTGCATAAAGAACAACAATGAAAACAGCAATGAAAAGCTGGGGAACCACAAAACTGCACCAGGCTACTTTCTTCTCCCCATACCCAACCTCGCCTTGAAATACAAAAGCAAATGGCAGCATACCTCTCTTGGTATCAGATCCAATCCAACACAGCCTGTGAGAATATCAAAATAAATTTGATTACTACTCAAATAGCAGTAGACATCTTCACTATATGTTGTATGAATACAGTGTATGAATACCACATACAGTCAGATCTATGTTGAATGCATCAGAACAAAATAAAGAGGAAACAAATAAGTACCCAACTGAAGTAGTAAAACTCACCACAGGTATTTACACAGACATCCACACCAGAGTCATACAGCATTGTACCATTAGGACAGAAACAGCCTTCCACTTGTTTAACTGAAGTTTCATTATGTGTACTGCATGAGACAAAATGTTCAGAGGAAAACCTTTACTATCACAGGCATACAGAGGAAGGTTAAGCTGAATAACTATTAACTGAAAATACAGGTGCAAATAATTTGTACTTCTGAGATTTAGAAGTTGCCATTGTTTGCATTTGGTTTAGTTGAACAACATAAAAAGTACAGGCATCTGCATTCAGGATCAAGAGAATAGTGGTAACAAATGAAATAGTCAGTGACAGGAGGTTGGTTGATTTCTCTCAGCAACATATGCTTCAAATATGGCTGAACACTTGTATGAGATGTAACTAAAAGTGGAGGAATTCTTTACCTTGATTTGCAGGTTGTCTCTTGAATAGGACCACATGCTCTATATTCCTTATGTTTGGAACATTCATAAGCTGGAATGGGAGAATAAAAAAGAGGAAGAGCTCAATAAGAATATCATACAAAGTTCTCATGACCTTATGGCAAGGAATTAAACATTAAGTACTCATTTTCCTATGTACGCTTGACAACCTTAAGAAGCAAAGAGGTTAAATAGATATCAGACTCAAGCAATTTTACCACACAGCACCATTGTTTACATTCAAGGAGATAAAGCCAGGAAACTACATCTTGATTACAATTTTGTCATAATTGAGATCTCTTTTGTATAAGTTCTTAAAGGGACATGTATTCCTACCCTCCCATTCTCTTTTGATTACACTAAATAAATGAGTCATCTGCCAATATCTGCAAAATACACAGTTGACTGTGTGAAAAAAAGAGACATATCTACTAATACAGATCTTTCAGACACAGTAAATGGATGTGTATTTTTGCAGGCTCATTTATTACTTCTATTGTTAAAAATACACCTGAAAATAACTTGAAGAAATTATTTATAGGTGTGATTTATTCATGTCTTAATTGCTCAGAAAGAAATATAACCTATCATTAAGGCATTATTATAGAATGGTTTGGGTTGGAGGGACTCGTTAAGATTATGTAGTCCAATTCCCTGACATGGGCAGGTACGTTTTTCACTAGATGACACTGTCCTGTTAAACACAGCTTTGACCACTTTCAACGATAGTGCAACCACAACTTTTCTGGGTAGCCTGATCCACTATCTCACCATACTAATCATTAAACATTTCTTCCCTCTTTACACTCTATACACTCTATACAGTCTATACACTGTATACAATCTACAGCTACCCTCTTTCAGTTTAAAATTACTGTGCCTTTTATTCTTGCCAATTATTGTGTTACTACAGGCGTTGGTAGAAACTCTTTCCCCATCTTTCTTATTCACTGTCTTTATTTATTGAAAGGCTGCAATAAGGTCTCCCCACTGCCTTCTTCTTCTGGCTGAACAACCCCAGTTCTCTCAGACTCTCTACACAAAAGAGGTGCTCCAACCCTCTGATCATTTTTGCAACTTTCCTCGGATGCACTCTACCACACCCATATCTTTCACATACAAGCACTCCAGGACTGGACACAGTACTGCAGGTGCAGAATTCCATCACCTAGTCTGTAGTGATATTGACAATTTTGTTCTGACCCAGGTACAGGACATTGCACTTGGCCTCAGTAGATTTCATGGGCCCACATCTTAAGCAGGTTAGGGTCTATCTGGATGGCATATCAACTGCATCACTCCCTTGGTATCACCTGCAAACTTACTGAGGGTGCACTCAATCCCACTATCGATGCCATCGATTAGCATTGGTCCTTTTCCTAACTACCATGACTTTTCAAATCTGATGGTGTGGGTTAGCAGCTCCATCAGCGAGTTCCCTTTGGGATACTCTTTGTCAGGTCTCATGGACTTGTGTATGTTCCAGTTCATCAGACGGTCTCACATCTGCTCTTCTATCACAATGGGAAGGACTTTGATAACCCAGTCCCTGCTTGTCTGGACTTGAGATATGTGGCAAGGATGATTACCAGAGAAAAGTGAGGCTTTTCTGACTAGCAATACCTGTAGAAGCCCATCTTATCATTTTTCACATTCCTTGCTAAATTCAGCTCTAATTATCCGTTAGCTTTCCTGATTCCATCCAGACACTGTCCCTGTATTCTTCCCAGGACACATGACATCAGTTTCACTGCCTATGCATTTCCTATTTGCATAACAGTTCAATAAGAAGACATACATCCCAAAAGATGCCATTCGTTGTTGGAAAGCCTTGGTTGCTGGAGCTCCATAGTGGCTGGTTCTATGCAGATCCCTGTGAACTGATAGCTGGGGCAGCCAGCACTCCCATACTCTCACTTGGCCCTCTCCTTAGACCTGCTGTGTGCCAGCCAGCCCCTCCACACACACAGCCCAAGGAGGGCAGTGACTTGGAAAGCTCCTCAGATGCCCTCCAGGCACCCTGCAAGCATCAGCAGCTACTGTTGCTGCTAGCACCAGCTTCCTGTGGTTTAAACTGAAATAGCTGAAATAAAAGTTCAATACAAGATTCCCTTAACAGTTCAAGATAAATGGCCAAATACTTACAGCAAACACCGTTGGTATGACTTCTCCAGTCAATGCAGACATTTTGATCGGCACAGACAGCTGCATAGATCTGCAGACTTGAGCATTCCAGGTCTAAGTCGGGAAGCATACAGCTATCAAAAACACAAGCTGCGTAGTACTTATCAGGCTTAACAACTGCATGGCACTTCTCAAACACACTAAAAATAGAAAAGTACATCATTATTAGTTACTGAATTATACATGATTTCTCCAATGTGCTAAGCATGTTATATTGTGGTAAAAGTGACACTTCAGGAGATGTGAACCAGGATTATTATTGACAGATTTCCACTAAGAGCATCTGACTAGACTGCAACCTTCCAACGTATTTTACAATATTCTCCTCTCATCTACAATACACCCATGCACCAATATTTTCACTCCAGAAGCTACATGAATATTATGAAGTATAGTCATTAGCTAGTTTTCACTTTTTAATTCTGACACTAGGTTCAAAAAACTAAGATTTTTTTTCAGTTGGTCTCTTTGCTGCTCAGAGAACATGGACAAAGACCACTCAACCAGGGTGGAAGGCAGCACAAAAGAATGTAAGAGCATCAAGGCTAGTGTAGCAGCCAGAGGGTTGTGAGTAAAATCTGTCAGCAAAGGATGACATCTTAAAATGG